AGAAAAAATTACATCACCTAATAATAAGATTTGAACTTACATCACGCCTCATAAATGAGTCTCCTCTAGAGGTTATAAGTTCGAGTTTCATGTAAGACGTTAGGAATGGTTCTTCCTCTTTCCCTTTAGATTTAGATATAAAAAAAAAAAAGTAAGCTAAACAATTTTTTGGTTAAAAAAATAGTTTCTCAATAAAAAAAAAAAAAAGGAGATGTTACAATGTGTACCCTCAAAAAAGTGCATATGATATGCTTTTCATAACCTTTTTACAAAATTTCATAACTTAAATCCAAAATGTCATAACTTTTTCATTATAAAAATCGTAACTTTTTTTCATTAAAAAATATCATAACAAAATCTCAAAGTGTCATAACAAAAATCACAAAATGTCATAACACTATTATTCTTAACTTTAAGGTGCGCATCATAAATTCATTATTTATAATTTTACTAGAAAATGTCATAACATACATCACAAACAATCATAACATTCATCATAAAAAATCATAACTTTTTACAATGTGCACCATTTAAAAGAGTGCACATTGTAAATTTCTCTCCAAAAAAAATGTTTTTTGGAAATCTCAACAAAATTATTAAAAAAATGGATTTTTTTTTAAGGTCTTTAATATTAAGATTTTATAAGATAAATGGCATTTAATATTTTCATAATAGTTAAGATCTCTCAATATTTTTACAGAGAAAATTTGACTCAGAGAAATTTTGCCTGACTGAGAGAGGCCGAAATTTTTCTGAGTCAGGCAAAATTTCTTTGGGTCGAATTTTCTCTATGAAAATGTTGAAAGACCTAAGCTAATAAAAAAAAATATCTTAAACCTCTCCTACTGCATGAAATTAGAGAGGAATGTTTTATTAATTTTTCCTAAAAAATGATTTTACCTTCCATACTAATATACTATAAGAAATACCACATGTCCTTTTGGTTATGTCAACAAAGACACCACAACACTATAGGGATAATATGATAATTTCTCATCAAAAAACAAAAGTTTGAAAAGACTCACCAGACTTTTTCCAAAAAAAAATAAAAATAAAAATAACAATTGCCAAATATGTCATTTTTTTTTTGGAATTGTGAAAATGCAAAAATAAATAATAATAATAAAAAAAAAAAGAAAAATACTGAAAAAGCAATTGCCAAATTTATAGCTTTTTTCTCCAACAATTACAACTCTATTTCTTTTAATTTCTTCTAATAAATATAGATATGAAATCATATCAAACATTATCATTTGAGATAACCATTCTTGAACTTGCTTCATAGAACACCCCTTTTACAACTATGTTCTCGTCTACAATGTTGTCAATGAAACATGTTCAAAATGTCTTCTACTTGAAGAAAATCTTTGAAATGAAGAGCAATGTCTGGAGTGTGTAGCTAAGAAAGCTAGCCATGAATTTCCAGAGGTTAAGGTACCAAGCCAGAAAGGGGCTTATAAAGGGTCCCAAAACCATGTTGTAAATCCTTAGTATTGCTTGTAGCACACACTGTGGACTCTTTAGGAACCCTACACAACCCACAAAAAATTGATCTATATTATTATGTGATAGTGATAAAATTTAGTTTTGGAAATGTTAAGGAAGTCTACATACACTCTGTAACAGTTGGAAATGCATCGAATAGTGAAGTCACAATCTTCAATAAAATCTACGAAGCTCAAAATAGAAACAAACGGATCAACAAAAAAAAAATAGTAATAATAAAATAAATTGTAGAATCTCAAAATAGAAACAATCGGATAAAAATAAATAAAAATAAATTCAATAATGTTCTAAGAAAGTCATAGTGGAATTACCAGTACTGAGCCTCCTGGTTTCATTGGCGACTCGACTACAACTTGAGCTCTCCTGCATTATAATGTGCTCCATTATAATTGCGTAATAGAAAATTAAGGTGAATATTGAAATTGATTTTTATTTAATACTTGATGACTAGTTTGGTTCCGTCTTCCATTGAACATTCATAAAAACTGCAGCCTCTGGTGAAGGGGATCTGTTTTTTGTTCCATTCTGTCATGGTAATAGAACACATTTATCGTCAAGTTTTATGTATCACTTAAAAAGGTGCTTATCGTGCTGATGATAAACAACATTGTTAAATTCATTTGAGACAACGAGAGATAAGATCGAATTACCAAGATGCCAAGTTACTCCAATTGTAAAATCATCTCCCTCGCACACGTGTCCTATCTTGAACTCAACATTTTGACCCATGCTTGCAATTAGTTGCCCAAAGAACTCCATAACCTCCTGCAGTTGCACATAGAAGCAAATAACACATTAAAGTTGCTTTTGTTTTGGCACAAAGAAAATGTTGCTTTACAAAAATTATTTTAGTAATTGGCAAATAAGTAGACAAGCACTAATGCTTCATTTGTTTAGGCAGAAAACATTTTTTATAAAAAAAAATTCATAAAATTTCATTTTTAGTCATACAAAGTGTCAGAAAATGCAAAAAAAAAAAAAAAAAAAAAAAAAAAAAAAAAAAAAAAAAAAAAATGTTTTCGCCGAAGTAAGCATAGTGCGTTTATGCTTAAAAGGAGAAATTGAGAAAGACCTTTTTCCCCTGGAATGGTTTGATGAATGAGCAATCGTCAAAATAACAATCATTAGAGATGAACTCACGGAGCTTGTTCAAATTCTTCTCATTGATAGAGGTATAGAACTGCTTAATTGAGTAAGATGAAGAAAGTGGATTAGGCTCAATATCACAACTGCTTGCCGATGACATGACTACCTTCAACCTACGTTCTCTGATGGGTTTGTTCCATATCCTTGCTTTCATGTATATATGCCGCCCTACAGTCTTCGTGTTATTAATCTTAAGCTGACATGTTTTCATAGGCAAGAAACGAAGAGCCCCTGCCATTGCTTTGGAGGGTGTAATCTGCCCTGTGGCATGGCTTGAAAAGGCAGCTCGAGCAGCCATTGTCTATTCAGAACAGATTGGCACCACTGCCCACCAAAACTTGGTGTAGAGACATTTAAATGCTTTGTGGATTGTATGGAATGGGGTTTTTTTTGGTGGCTTGGAATGGAAACAAGGAATCATTCTTTGATTTATTGCTTTTTTTGTAATTTTCAAAGAACATTTTGTGCCTTGGCTTGTAATCTAAGAACCATTGTTTCATTCAACATTGAAACTTGGACATTACCCAAAAGATTGTTCTGGTGGTCAAAGTGGTCTCTCCGTAGTTTCAAATTCGAAATCACCTAAGTGCAAGTAATTCCTTAGGATCGGTCTATAATTGAGCTCTTGTTAGTGGATGATGAAATTGATTTTCAAATTAATCAGTACATTAAGCCGTATACTATTAAAAAAAATTGAAACTTGAACAATCCTATTTTATATTGATTCCATCACTTGAGCATTGGAGACAAGTCGGTGGAGTCACGTATCTGCCAAAAGTACAATAAATTCTTTTCTTTTAATATCATCTATTATATCAAAGGGATTATTGAGAAAGTCGATAATTAAGAAATGTGCAACCATACATTTAAAATGGAGGTACATTTTCCCAATAAAAATCAATAGTTAAAAAAAATGTATAAACTATTTAATATTAAAAAAACCGACAACTAGTTAAGTACACCTACCATAAAGAAATTTTACCAGCTTCATTGGGTTGCTATATTATGATGGACCCATCTTCCAACCTAGCCCTTGAACATTTTTAGAGCCTCATGATATGGGCTGTGCTTTGTTGATTGTTTATTTGGGATCCTTTTTGGAATAAATTTAGCTGCTCTTACAAGCTTATCCCAATAAATAAATATATAAAGTAAATTCTACCAACTTTAGAGTTTTGATATCAACATATTTTTTTAAGTAAGAATAAAGTAATCAGAACTAATTTAAATGGTATAAATACATAGATAAATAAGGTAAAAAATATAGTTCAACGTAAAAAATATGCTAACATTTTGAGATTAGTGTGATTAACTAAAAAATAAAAAAACAAATGGAATCATTGAATAGTGGACAAAAAAAAAAAAAAAACGCAAACAAGGACAGATGCAACCCCCCCCAATGTGTTTGAATTCCAAGCAATCACAAGACGTGAGTGTTTGGAAAGTAAATTTTTTTATAAATTTTTTATTATAAGATATTATTGAAAAAAGAAAATTTTAATCCCGATTCAGCTCTCTAATTGAGGAGTCCAGATCCCCTCCTTGAGGCCCCTCCTTTATTCCCTCCTTGTAGAGCCTTCGGGTCCACTTTGAGGCCCAGTTTTGATAATCCGAACCGTTCATATTTTTAGATTTATTCAGTATATTATACTTGTAAAAAACCAAATTGATCGGATATCAGAAAGTATGCGTTCAGAAAATTGGGACTACAAACTATTTTTTAATAAACAGTTTTTCGAACACATACTTCATGATATTCGATTAACTTGATTTTTTACAGGTATAATATGCTGAATAAATCTAAAAATATAACGGTTCGGATTATCAAAATTGGGGCTCAAAGTGAGCCCGAAGACCCTGCAAGAAGGGAGTGAAGGACCGAAATGAAGGGGAGGATCCCAATTCCTAATTGAGAGGCTCTAAAGGAAGCTCTAAACATGTGGCACCCAACCAAGAATGGTGAAGGATAGTTACACATACAGTGCATGTGTTCACGCACTGTGTTAAGAAAAAAAAAAATTTGAAATCCCGCGCAAATGTAAAACATCGGTAAAACAGAGGTATTGTCCCTCTATTCCAGATCTCACTCTCCTCCGCCATCCCTCGCCTCTCCGTCTGTCTTGTTCTCCCTCTGAGGCTTTCCTCTCTCGCGTTGAAAGCATTTGCAGATCTGTCCGCTACCTCTCCTCTCCTCCACCATCCGCCATCTTCTCCGTCGTCCACCATCCGGCGTCTTCTCTGTCACCGATCTTCGTCGTGTTAGGGAAAATCGATGTGATTCTCCACAAGTAAATCAATCAATGGGAATAAAAACTAATGCGGAAAAATTAAATCAAAGGCAACACACTTTCCTCTCTCGCGTTGAAAGCATTTGCAGATCTGTCCGCTACCTCTCCTCTCCTCCACCATCCGTCATCTTCTCCATCGTCCACCGTCCGGCGTCTTCTCTGTCACCGATCTTCATCGTCCACCGTAAAGCATTACCAGGTGAGTGATCTTCGTCCCTCTGTCCTCTATATACATTTATATATATAGACATTTATATATGTAATTTTTTTAATCAGTGATGCTAGATTGATATGTATATATATATATATATTTAGGCAAATTTCTGAGAATGAATTAATAAATTGAAAATGATTTGATAATGATGATTTGATAAATTTCTGGGAATGATGAATTGATAAATTTTTGAGAATGATGAATTGATATACATTTATATATATGTTTTGATAATGATGAATTGAAAATTTTCTGGTTAATCTATGAGCAGAAGCAAGGGAGATTGATAATGTTCTGGTTAATGTTCAAATAGTGGTGATTGATTCAAAGTTTTGGTTAATTTTGAGTTGTGAATGAAAATTCTGGAGAATGATGAATTGATATACATTTATATATATATTATGAGAATGATGAATTGATAAATTTGTGGTTAATCGATGAGCAGAAGCAAGGGAGATTGATAAAGTTCTGGTTAATGTTCAAATAGTGGTGATTGATTCAAAGTTTTTGTTAATGTTGAATTTTGAATTAAAATTCTGAGTAAACATGTGATTTTGGTATTTTGGTTTTGTAGATGTCGGTGCAAGGGAGTTCCCAGCAAACTCAACCATCCTAGATTTGATGGAAAGTGCCGGTCAAGGAAGCTTTAGATAGACCTCTTATGGGTTTCCTGTGAATTGATCACCAGAAAATAGGTCAATGAAATTGGTTGTTGTTAGCAATTAGGCTGTTGATAACAAGCCTGTAGGCTATTGTTAGCATGACCCAATAGTGTTTTTTCATGTCTGCAAGTTCACTTTGAAACACACAGAGATGTTTTATTGATGTGAATACGGAAGACTTGGATCATATATATTTATATATGGGATTTCTATCTCATTTTCTCAAATAATTAATTATCTCAATATGCTCATGAATGCTGATATTTATTGAATGCATTACAATCAACTTTATAATTCTGCAAAAATCTTAAGGATCAAACACAGTGTCTGCTATCTTTTTTGTTTATGTTAACATATAATATATCTCCACTACCATGTATACATATAATATATACCCCCACTAGACCTTGTATCTGTAAAGGCCACAATGTGTAGCTATAAAGGCCACCACTTTCACTTTAGCTTTAGCCTATCTCAATGTAATTACCAGGCATCTGATTCCATTTGTCTCCTTCTCCTCTCTATAAAGAGAGGGAGCTCACTCTTGTATTAACACAGAAACATAATATAACTACATCAATTCTTCAATTCAGTCTCTCTCTGCTCTCTTCCTCCTTACTAGTCTTTCATGGTATCAGAGCCCAGAAATACAATTCTGGCATCCCTCAATTTTGGTGCTTAGTTCCGTACACAGTGGACTATACCAAACAGCTCGGAATCTCCTTACGATTCCAACGGCACCAAGCCCATCACCAGAAAAGCCCTCACGCGCTCTCACGCGCCGATTCTTTGCTCGGCGCGTCTCTGCCTCCGTTGCCACTCTCACACGCGCTGCCACGCGCCTTCCATCCTACCCTGTCGTGCGCCGCACCTGCTACCGTGCACCCGTGTGCGCCGTTCGTCTACCGTGAGCCGCGCGTGCGCCGTTCCGCTATTGTGCACCCGCGTGTGCCATTCTACTAACATACGCTGCCAGCCCCCTCTGCTACCGTGCGCCGCCCGTTCTCCCTGCTAACGTGCGCCGCTGACATCATTTTTCATCCTGCTGACATCATCCCTACACAGCCCACATTTCCTAGCTATTTTCGACCTTCCGGACTCACTGGTACACTCTGTTTTACCTAATTTTGCTCCTACAAGTCTCTCCCTATCTATTTAGCCCTACTCCACTACTATTATGGATCGTCCTGATGCCTCCCATCCCATTTCCGTTATTTTGGATGGTTCCAACTATGTTCTATGGGCCCAAGCCATGTCTTCCTTCCTCAAAGAAAAGAAGCTCTGGCGAATTATCACCGAGGACATGACCCAACCGGTCAAAGACACTGCTGAAACCACTGTCTCTCCTGCTACTCCTACATATGAAGATCGCCTTTAGGAATGGGACAGTAAGAATTACCAAATCATTACCTGGTTTCGCAATACTTCTGTTACCTCTATCAGTCTTCAGTTTGGTCGCTTTCAGCTTGACTCTGTCACTACTCCTGAAAAAGACATCTGAGATTTTTTGAAAGAACGATACCAGACTACTGGTCTTGCTCATCAATATCAACTTCAGAGCCAACTTCATCGGATGCGCCAAGAATCTAGTCAGTCCATCAATGACTTCCTTTCTCAAATGTACTCCGTTTGGGACCAGCTTGCTCTTTCCGAACCGACTTGGCCTCACCAAGAAGATGCTGTTTTATTTACTGCTTATCGTAATCAGCAAAGGTTGGTGCACTTTCTCATGGCTCTCACTTCATCTTTCGAGCCCGTACGTGCCTCTCTCCTTGCAAATGGGTTTACAAAATCAAGACTCATTCTGATGGCTCTATTGAACGCTACAAAACTCGTCTTGTTGCCAAGGGTTTCAACCAGGAATATGGGATTGATTATGAGGAAACCTTCTCCCCTGTTGCTCGACTTACCTCTGTTCGCAGTTTACTGGCTGTTGCTGCTGCTCGCCACTGGGCACTCTTTCAAATGGATGTCAAAAATGCCTTTCTCAATGGTAACCTTCTTGAGGAGGTCTACATGCAACCTCCACCTGGGTCTACTTTTCCCCCTCATAAGGTTTGCAAACTACAGCGTGCCCTCTATGGCCTCAAGCAAGCACCCCGGGCCTGGTTTGCTAAGTTCAGTTCTACCATTCATGACTTCGGGTTCACCTCTAGCTCCTATGACTCTGCTCTTTTTATACGGACTACTCCTCATGGTACCACTATTCTCCTTCTGTATGTGGATGATATGATTATCACTGGTAATGATGCAGCTGGTATTCTCCACCTTAAACGTTTTCTCCACTGTCAGTTTGAGATGAAGGACCTTGGTACTCTTAACTATTTTTTAGGCCTTGAAGTCTCACTCCTCTCGATGGGGCTCTCCTCAATGATGCTACTCTTTATCGCCAGCTCGTCGGTAGTCTTGTCTATCTCACAGTGACTCGTCCTGACATTGCCTATGCTGTTCACATTGTTAGTCAGTACATGTCGGCTCCTCGCACTCCCCACTATACTGCTCTACTCCACATCCTTCGCTACATCAAAGGCACCCTGTTCCATGGCCTTCACTACTCTGCTTCCTCATCTCTTGAACTGCGTGCCTTCTCTGATGCTGATTGGGCTGGGGATCCTACGGATCGACGCTCCACCACGGGATTTTGTTTCTTCTTAGGGGATTCTCTTCTTACTTGGTGTAGCAAAAAACAATCCCTCACTGCCCGTTCTAGCACCGAAGCTGAATACCGAGCCCTTGCTGATACTACTCAGGAACTTCTCTGGCTTCGCTGGCTCCTCACTGATATGGGTATTTCCTCTTCCGGCGCTACCGCTCTTTATTGTGACAATCAGAGTGCCATTCAGATTGCTCACAATGATGTTTTTCATGATCGCACCAAGCACATTGAGATTGATTGCCATTTCATTCGACAACATGTTACACGTGGTACTGTTCATCTTCTCCCCATTGCTTCTGCCAATCAACCTGCTGATATTTTCACCAAGGCTCATCCTCCTGGGCGCTTCCGTGATCTCGTTTCCAAACTCAACTTGGTCGATGCCTACCCTCCTTGGGTTTGCGGGGGGCTGTTAACATATAATATATACCCCCACTAGACCTTGTATCTGTAAAGGCCACAATGTGTAGCTGTAAAGGCCACCACTTTCACTTTAGCTTTAGCCTATCTCAATGTAATTACCAGGCATCCGATTCCATTTGTCTCCTTCTCCTCTCTATAAAGAGAGGGAGCTCACTCTTGTATTAACACAGAAACATAATATAACTACATCAATTCTTCAATTCAGTCTCTCTCTGCTCTCTTCCTCCTTACCAGTCTTTCAGTTTATTTGTTTCCCAAATTAAGGGAAATTCAATTGTTCTTCTTATGTTACTTCTCTGCAATTTCTTCCAGTAGGATTAAGTCTCAAATATTATCATTCTAAGCAGATATGTGCAAAACTCAATAGTGCTGGGTACCCCCCAGTGGAGGGTGACCCCCAGCACCCCCACCTCCACGTGGGGTCACCCCCACTGGGGGTCTATGTCATTTTTGGTGCAAAACTATACTGCTCTGGTTTATAATCGAATATTGATAACCTTCAGAACAAAAAATTTCTTTTTCCTCTTATGAGTTTGTTTGATACTGCAGTTCAACAGGGGCACCAATGCCATGCAACATTATGTGGCAACATAAGGTGAATTGATCACCAGAAAATGGGTCAGTGAAATTGGTTCCATCATTCCTGTTCATGGTTGAATTGATCACAAGGTGAATCACAATCACAATCACAATCCATCCATTAACAAATGATTCAATAACAGAATGGAGGTACTGAATAACTAAATAGCATTCATGCATAACCATTCAATTACAACCAAGATGAATAACTAAATAGCAACATTCTAACATTCATATATATTATTGCATTTTCATAACTGATACGACACCAATTACAAGTAAGATGAAAAACCCATAAATACGACACCAATTTCGATTTATGTCTTTTTCCAATTTACGCATCTTCGCGCTCTGAAATTGAAGTTGTTCGGCCATAAATCGTAGATGTTCGGTGATAGTTGGCATATTTTCCATTTGCACTTCTCTGTCACCTCTACATTGTGAATTTGTAGGCAAGCATCATCTAATAAAACCACCGCAATCTGCGAAAATATAAAGCCAAATTTGATTAATTTACAGAACCTACAACAATAAAGGTCTTCATGAAACTAGCAACAAAAATTTTCCTGGATAAACTAAATAATCCATTTCAGGGGATATAGACTGCCTTCAGAGAACATTGCCACAAAACTTTCATCAATGCTACAAAACACCACTAGATTAGAAGAAACAGAGCAGACACAATTTCATCAGGTTTTGGAGGCAGATCACCCCTTCCCTCCTCTAAAGGTAGAGCAGACACAATTTCATCATGAGGTTTCACTATGAAGTTAACTTGTTTACTAGCTAAACATTTTGGTACAAATCTAAAATTCTTTAAGTAATCAAAACACAATGAAAAGATGGAGGTAGACAGGTTTGTGCCTAGAGGGGAGTGAATAGGCCAAACCCTTCTAACTAATCACCAATTAAAAATTGGTACCAAGTAGATGATTTAAATCAGTTGTAAGAACCTTGCTTGACAAAAGAATGCCTAAATCAACATCTCCAAATTACAAATCAATTTCATCAAGAATGAGACAACATCTCCAAATTCTCAAATGAAACAATTGATTTACAAAAGAATTTTTATATAACAGTATAAATCAATTTCATAACTTAGAAATGATTTACAGTATAAACCATATAACAATATCAACATCTCAAATTTCATTTCATTTCATTTGATAAATCAATTGATTTCATATGATTTACAGTATAATTCATTTTTAGAAATCAAATGAAACAACTGATTTACCGTATAAATCATATAATAATTTCAATTTCATCTCAAATGAAATCAATTAAGAAATTAATTCATTTATACAGTATAAATCAATTTCATAACTTAGAAATCAATTTCTATATATAACAGTATAAATCAATTTCATCTGAGATGTTGTTTCACAGACATACACAAACACACACAGACACATACATACATACAAGCCCTAAGTCTAAATCAATTTGTAAGTTATATACCTGTATGTTGGAATCGCAGGTTGGGGTCGCTCTTCGGAACAGACACTCAGTCGGCGACAGAAGATACATACTCGATCGGCGGTCTGAGAGAGAGTTGAAAGAATACAGCGAGTCTTCCACTGTCCAGCGGGACTGACGAGAAGTGAGAAACAACAGTGTCGATTGTCGGGAGTGAGGATCGAGGGGAGACAGAAAGGCTTGGTCAGAGAGAGAGTCGATCGTCGGCGGGGTTGGAATAGAGCTTCGTTCGTCGGGGAGTGAGAGGTCGAAAAGAGAGAGACAAGAGAGAGAGACGAGAAGGTTTTGAATATAGAGAGAGAAGACAAATGAAAATAATTTTGAAATTTGAACTCAAGAATGAGAAAGAGAGAGAAATGCGCGAGTTAGCAACTGTGACTCCACGTCAGAGCCACGTCATTAGTGCCGCTCTAGAGCTCTTGCTCTAGAGGTCCGAAGCATTTTTGAAAATTTTTTGTATTTAAAAAGATAGTTGGATTTTTTTGTGGTTGAATGTGATGTTTGTGAGAGAAAAAATGAAATGATTATGGGGTTCGATATGATATTTTGTTTGAATTTATTTTTTTTTTAATTTTGTAACTAATTTGTCTTTTAGTAAAAAAAAACCAAACAAAACAAAAAAAAATTCATCTTCCCAAACACCACCGATGAGTTGTACATGTACTTCCATTTTTATGTAAATTTTTTTTGGATAAATATAAATATACATTTTGAGATTTATTTAAAATATAAATTGTTTTATGCGATTTAAAGAATTACAAATACTCCTTTATTATAATTTTTTATTTAATAGAATTAATTAAAAAAATAAAATTTATAATTTTTCTCCTAAATAATAATTAAATTACATAAATTATTAATTGAAACATATTTTTAACATTATTAAAAACTGTTAATTGACTTGATGATTTATTGATAAAATGGATGATTTGTTATGAAAAAAGAACCTTCAGGGGTTGAAATGTAATTTTCAAAATCACAAGTGGATATTCGTATTTTAATTAAACCTCATGAGGTGCATTTGTAACTTACCAAATTTTTTTCTATCCAATTCAGGCTTTGTTTGGGAAGTGAGTTGACTTTTTAGCTTTTTTGATTTTTTGGTTATTTTAGTCTGAAATTAAAAAGCTTAGTTTAGGGAGAACTTTTGACTTTTTTGTAAGGGGTGTTTTGGGAATGAAAAAAAAAAACTAGTTTTTAGTTTTTTTACCTATTTTGGGTCACATCACATTTTTTATCGACAAAAAGATAAAATAGACTAAAAAAGACAAAAAAATCTGCTTTTTGTCAACTTCCCAGAACACCACTAAGAGAAAGAATGTAATAATTATGAATTAGATGTGATATTTTGTCTTATTAAATTAAAAACTCTATTTTATTTTTTGTAATTATTTTAACCAAAAAAATTCTCAATCCCAACTTCCCAAACATAGGCTCAGTAATTCCATATATATATATATATATATAAATCCCTTCGGAACTGGATTACCAAATTAAACACTATGAAGAATGATTTTCTATCTTACTGTTTTGGGCTAATACATACTGTTCACATACTTATTGATGAAGAAATAAAAAAGTAGGGAATAGAAATACAACTTCAAAATAATGCATCAATTATTTGTGTTGTTATCATTTTAAAATTATTTTATCTACCTTATATTCTTTGAAATTCTTTCTAAAATTTAAAAGGTACATTTAAAAATTTCTAAAAAAAATGCTATAAAGCAATTGTCAAACTCTTAAAAAAAAAAAAATTACTTAAACATTTAAATAAGAGCTGGGGAGAGGGTCTTCAGTTTTACCATGTAGTTTTCTTCTAGACTCCATTTTGGTGCCCTTCAAGAACAGTTCATGTTATAAGTCTTAAATAAAATAATATATATATACATATAAAATTAATCAGGTATAAACATATTAATTAATTGTATTTTATTTTATAAAATAAATATTAAATATAATTTTCAATTAAAAAAATCAGGATAAACTACCAATAAGTCCTAATAATTGGACTTAATTATCAACAACTCTTATTGAAAATAAGTCTCGATAATATTATCGTTAAAAATAATTTTTTTGTGACAATTTTTTTATATATGTCATTAAAAATTAATAATTAGTGACTTTTTTTTTATTATGATTTTTATAAATTATCTTTAAAACTTATAATTAGTGATATTTTTCATGATAAATTTTTCTTATAAAACTTATTAGATAATAATTTCACTATTATTATGATCTACGCCCAAGTACCCTTTAAAACTATTTATTTTTAGAATGTAACGGTTGAAATTTTACAGTCTCCTGTTGAATGATAACATGTTTGCAGAGATGTGTGTGTATACATATACGATTACAACCAAAAAAAATATACGTATGATATGAACAATCTCTCTCTCTCTTCTCTGTCCTGTCGTGAATCTCTCTCTCTCTCTCTCTCTCTCTGCTCTGTTCAGTATTCAAAGGGAGAGTGTGCAACCTGGCAGCAAATTAGCAATGCATGCCTGTCACTGTTTCTGATGCTCAAACTCTCTCTAAAATCTCTCTCTCCCCAATTTTTGTGACAGATAATTCAAAGGGAAACCCCCCATTACGCAGATCTGGTGAACTCTCCCAAAACCCATAGCTCGATTCGTTGTTTGTAGTTGTTGTTATTATTCTTCTTCTTCACACCATGAAAGTAACCCAGAGAGATTCTGAGAAGGTGGTTTGGGATCAGATGAGAAACCCATCATCAATGACACCCATTACTGTTATGGGTTTATCAAATCGAACGATGCCCAAGTTCATGACCTGGCTCATCCTCTTCGTCTCCGTCACTTACATCATCTACACTCTGAAACTCGTCTCTTCTAATTCACGCAGTTGCGACGACGACCCCCTTTTCACCACCACCCACAACCGCCTTGTTTCTCTCCAATCTCCACCCATCGAAAAACCCAGTTCAGACCCACCAAAAAACCACAACAAAACAGAGCTCAAACACATCATGTTCGGCATTGCAGCCTCGGCAAAGCTCTGGGACCAGAGAAAAAACTACATCAAGGTCTGGTGGAAACCGAACGAAATGAAAGGCATAGTGTGGCTAGACAACCCGGTTCAGACCAAACCCGAAGAACCCCTTCCGGAGGTTCGAATCTCCGGGGACACTACCATGTTCAAGTACACCAACAAAGAGGGTCACCGATCGGCGATTCGGATCTCCCGAATCGTCTCGGAAACGTTCCGACTCGGTACCGAAGACATACGGTGGTTCGTGATGGGGGACGATGACACGGTCTTCGTCACCGACAATTTAGTGAGAGTTTTGTCCAAGTACGATCATACCCAGTACTATTACATCGGAAGCTCGTCGGAGAGTCATTTGCAGAACATAAATTTCTCCTACGGAATGGCTTATGGAGGAGGTGGGTTTGCCATAAGTTATCCATTGGTGAAAGCTTTGGAGAAAATGCAAGATCGCTGTGTTCAGAGGTATCCTGCCTTGTTCGGTTCCGATGATCGGATTCAAGCCTGTATGGCTGAACTCGGTGTTCCACTCACTAAACAACTCGGTTTCCACCAGGTTCGCCTTTCTTTTTCGTGTTTTTTCTTCTTTTTCGGTGGTTTTTCTGTGTTTTGTTTGGGTGTATCTGCACACTACTTTTTTTGTTTTTCTGTTTTTTTCCTCATGATTTTTAGGAAAAATTACACTTTCACTTTCTTAAAATATTTTAGGTAAATTACAGTTTTCACTTTGCTTTATAATATGAATAAATTAGTTAAAATTTGAAACAAAAGGTAAAAATATAGAAAAAAAAACAAACTTACTTAAAAAATCAAAAGTAGAAAATAACTCAACATAAAATGGTAAATCATAAATTATCCAATATTTCATTATTTTTCTTTGGCTTTTGAAATTTATATAATTCTTAAAGTATTGAATTTTAATTAATGTGAATAGATGGCCAGCTGTTACCCACTTCTCCAATTAAAAATGTCGCAGGTTGTTAATCCAAGGGCCAAGAAGAAAAAAAAACATTGAAATATTAGCCCAAGTGGGAAGTGGGAAGGGTTTAAATGAGGAGTGAGAAAAATTTTATCATATTTTTAAGATTTTTTATTTTATTTTATTATAATAATATTTATATGTGTATTTGTCATGTGATATGAATCAAATAAAATGATAAACAAAATTTGATAAAGAATTTCCCTTTGATTAAAAGCTACTTTCATCTTTACATTATTGAAACTTTTGTTGTCACGTGATGCTGTTGCAATAGAGAACTAGAAGACAATTATTAATTGAGCCACGTCGAATAAAAAATAATAGTTAAAAGATTTAATTGTTAAAATTTAAAAATTTAACTGCCAAAATTATATGATATTTGAATATAATTTATTAAAGTTTTTAGGCTTGTTTGTTGCCAATGCGAGGTGCACAGTAAAATCATAAAAAATTATATATTAAATAAAATTATTGTCTAAATTTATTTTTAATATAGTGGAACTCAAAATGCTTTTTGATCTCACATTATTTTTAAAGTAAATTACACTAATTTTTTTCTGAAGTTTTAAAAAACAATAATATTTTTTTTTTTATAATTTTGACATAATTATATTAGATTTTCTTTCATTAGTGATATAAATAGAGAAATGATATTGTTATTTCTTATACATGTAAATGTATATTATTTCATATTTATTTTTTGTATTTTTACATCATCTGTATTTATTTTTTAGTTCATTTAGAGAGTGTTTGGGAAGTGATTGTTTTAATTAATATTTTGATTTTTTTATAAAAATATGTATAAAAAAATTAAGAAAGATGTGATTTTTTTTTTTTTGGCTTTTTAACCTAGACAAAAAAGCCAACACCTCAAATGGGTTAATCTTATTAAAAGTGAGATCCGTGTAATTATTTTAAAATTGTAAATTTATTATTTTTTAATTTTTTTTGAGAGAGAGATGAGTATAATTTATGTTAAATTTTTTTAAAAAAAATTTGTTTGAAAAAATCACTTTTTAAAACCATCCAGAGTAAAATTGGATAAAACAAGTAGACATAGTGCCATTTTGGAAATATAGCAAAAAGTCACTTTTTGGACAAAATATCCAAAAACGCAAGTGCCAAAAACGTCAGAAAATTAGTTTGGCAAGTGCTAAAAACGCAGGTGTAAAATTACAAATTAGGACTTATGAAAAAAAAATAAAAAAAATAAAATTCTTATGTTAGATAAGGGTATTTTGGTCATTTTAATTTGATTTGACACTATAAATAAATATTAAATTAAAAAATAAAAAATCAACTTTTTATCAACTTTTCAAATCACTTTTCAAAAAGTTAAAAAACTTGATAAAAAATTAAAAGTTAACTTTCTATCAACTTTCTAAAACACCCCTTAATTGAGCTCGTCGGTGATGACTAGTAGTAAGGTACTAGTTGGATACCGCTTGGGTCGGTTTGGTGTTGACTAATTGAACAAGGACTTTGTGGGGCCCATTTGTGTTTGTTTGTTATTGTTGTTTGACATCCCTCTAAGCCAAAAATGATACATGTCTCTAAGAGCATTAGTAATATAAAAAATAAAAAAAAAATAAAAATAAAAATTAAGACTAAAAAATCACATCACATGAGATTCACATACCAATTAGAATTATTAGAACTCTTAATTTAAAGTTTCTAATTTTTTTCTTTGTGTTTCAATAAACTCGGCGGGTCTCTCTCAGTCATAACTCTTTTTTATTTATTTTATGTTTTGTTGTTGTTGTTGTTGTTGTTGTTGTTTTTTTTTTTCCATCGACAAAGCAATAAGCCACCAAAAAATGCGAGACTCCAAAATTTTTGCACAATATTGATTCCATATGGTGTGAGTATCACATCCATGTGAGTATTGGATAAAAATTTTAATAATTTTTTTGAAATTCTTAGCGTTGCTCTTTCCTAGTTTGTCTTATATCGATTCTTAATTACAGCGATTTCAGTTTTGTATTTTTGACAATGTCTCAATTTAGTCAAATTTATAATGCCCGTCTAGAAATTAGATATAAATTAATGGGTAAATAGTCCATTAAGGCTGGGTTTGATTGAAGGATTTGGGGAGTAATTTGAAAAAGGATAGGGAAAAGGACGGTGAAATGTGAATAAAATACACTTATATTTTACATAATTTCACAATATTTTTTCTTTCTCTTTTCAAATTCATTCTTAAATCCTTTAACCAAATACAACGTAACTCTCCTCAAAGTGATTGATAAGTTAACATCCAATTTAAAATAGTTCACTCTTTTTGTATTGAATCATTTAATTATTAATTTCTGTCTTATATTTTGACAAATGTTATCAATTTGCTTAATTCACACATTGTGAAAAATTAAAAAAGCATTAGTTACAATTAAAATTACATGGACTAAACTCACACAAGGGACAAATTACAAGGATTAATTTACCCAAATTGTAATTAATAGAGACAAATATATCCCAACCCCCCAAACAATATAACTCTATAGACATTGCATTGTTTTAAGAACTGTAGCTTATTTGTGTTTAAAGGGTATTTATATTTTTACATTGAATTGCTAGTACTAGAATAGAATAGTACATGTTAATTGGATGGTAATGATATTGATAAAGCATAACATTTTGTGTAGGAATGTCTTTTTTTTTTTTTTTGGAACTATAGGAATGTCTTTCTTTGATCACTTCTTTGTTCAGTTGTTTTTGTTTGTTCATTTTAATTCTCAGTAAATTGTTGGTGGATTGAAATGCAGTATGATGTGTATGGGAACCTATTTGGGCTCCTCGCCGCCCACCCAGTGACACCATTCGTGTCGTTGCACCACCTTGACGTGGTTGAACCCATTTTCCCTAACGTCACACAGGTAGAAGCCTTGGAGCGACTTAAAATCCCTATGAAGCTCGACTCAGCAGGACTCATACAACAATCAATTTGCTACGATAGAGTCCAGAAATGGACCGTCTCTGTATCATGGGGCTTCGCGGTTCAAGTTTTCCGGGGTGTTTTATCGCCCCGGGAAATAGAAATGCCCTCGAGGACGTTCCTGAATTGGTATAGGAGAGCTGATTACACGGCCTATGCATTCAACACGAGGCCGGTCAGCCGGAATCCTTGTCAGAAGCCCTTTGTGTTCTACTTGTCGAGGGCAAGATTAGATTCTTGGATGAATCAAACGGTGAGCGAGTATGTTCGGCATCACATTCCTCATCCTGCGTGCAGATGGAAGATGCGGAATCCCGCTGACCTTGACAGAGTGGAGGTTTATAAAAAACCTGACCCTCATCTATGGGATAGGGTAAGCCATATCTCTATCATTGTTTATATTGTGTTTAAGGCCATCCTTATCAGTAAGTTTTTTCAAAGTTCTGCAAGGAATAAATTTCATAATTTTGATTACTACAACCGTTATGACTAGTGATTTTGTTGTTTGCACAACGGTGAAATCACTCATCAATTCAAAGCCCATTTTTGAATCCTTGACCTTTTATGAGAGAGATTTTACTCAACATATTTGCCACCAGCTTGCAACTTGCAAGTTGATTTTCTGGGGAATGAGGAGTAACATGAGTTGTAATGTTTAGTTTATATATATGTAATGTGTAATGTCGATTTAATTATTCACACTTTGATTGTTTTATACTTGCAGTCTCCGCAGAGAAACTGTTGCAGGATCATGAGCTCGAGCAGAAGAAGCATGGTGGTGGATGTGGGTGTGTGGGGAAGGTGAGATCAGTGAAATATCATGTGACAAATTGTTTATGTAGTATTTTCAATCAATTACGTAACATTCCAAGTTTTTTTTTTTTTTTTTTTCTTTTTCTTTTTTAGAGTTGACTGACAATCAATCATTGAAGAAAAATGTTATGTCAATGTAAACAAAGTTGTAATTTAAAATATTTAATCTTCATTGCAGTGTAGTTTTCTGAATATATATTATTATTATTTTTATTTTTGTGAAAATCCAGGGTTTGAGGAGAGGCATATGCAGTGCTAAAATGTTGAGAGACATTAGAAATTAGGGTTCTATCTATGAGCAAAAATTAAGGCATAAAATATGGATAAAAAGAAAGAATCTAAACTTTAATTTATTTGTTACAGCATTTTTACCAGCTTATTTATATTTTACTCTAAAATATTATTAAAAAATTTATTCTCCATTTTAAGAATCACTTTTTTTTATTTATTTTCCTCAACAAATTCTGTATTCTATTAACAAATTTTCTATTATTTTCTCTATTCTATTAAAATATAATTTTTAATCATAAATTTGTATAAATTTAAAAAAAATAAAAATCATAATGTGTACTGCAATTTTTAAAGCAAAGCATATATATATATATATATATAAATAAGGGAGTTATAATAATTTTTCATTTTTTTACAAATTAAGAGTCACTGCAACAAATATTTATTTATGAAGAAGTTGATGGGGGTGATATAACAGAGTTTTTAAAGTAAAGGAGTGATTGGGGTGGGAATGCTCTTAGGCCCCGTTTGTTTTGAGTGAAAGAGAGGGTATTGAGATTGTTAATACCAAGGTATTAGTAATAGCCTTATTTGTTTTGGGAGAAGGCTTGAGACTATTAGTCACTTGGTATTACTAATATCCTTGGAGAGGGGATTGGTAAGGAGGAGGTAGAGATGGTATTGGAAAAATAGTGAGGAGATTAAAATTTTTTTTATTTTTTTTATTTTTTATATATTTTTTAAAATATAATTTTTAATTTTTTATATTTTTTTATTTGTTTTATTATTTTATATAAAAATAATTTAACAATTCCTTATTATTAATCCCCTCACTATTATCTCTGAAAACAAACGGGGCCTTAGGAAGGAAGAGCACTTGACTTGACAAGTTGATAGACAAGGTGGTACTGTTGACCGTGGAATCAAATTGACAAGGGTAGTTGACCATGATGTTAGATTTGAAATTATGATGAATTGTTTTGTTCATAATCTTGGCATCTTCTCATTTTAACCAATTAAAATTAAAATTACAAAGAAGAAAAAAAAGAAAAAAGAAAAAGATTTTGATCAAGATATCTCCTATCTAAAATTTGACCGTGATGTTAGATTTGAAATTATGATGCATTGTTTTGTTCATAATCTTAGCATCTTTCTCCATGGTAGTGGTTTACTCATCACCAAGCCATTTTGACCAATTAAAATTAAAATTACAAGAAAAAAAAAAAGGAAAAGAAAAGAAAAGAAAAAGATTTTGATCAAGAGACTTGGATCTCCTATCTACAATTGATCATTTTTTTTTTCAATCAAATCACACTTCACCACTTATAATTTAGTAAAGTTTTAAACAGTGAGGTGATGAAAAAATTATATTGAAACTTAGATTTAGATAGTTAAGTTTTAAACTTAAATTGAAGTCGAAGGATTTAACTCAGATAAAATTTAGAGGATGAAAAGTGTAATTTATCACTTCTTTTTTTTTTTCATTAGATCTTTTGTCATCTTATTCCAAATATCCATTTGTCATACCATCAATCTCTCCTATATTATTCAATAATTTTAAAATATCATGTGACATTATTTATGTAGTATTTCAAATCAATCACGTAACAAAAAATTTTACAAGTAAGATATGCTCACTTACTTTGATTCAATAGTTAGGAGATAAAATTTAACTCAATGTGTATTACAATTTGTCATTGGTCGAAATGCAAATAATATTGCATTGTACTCCAAATATATTTAATAATTTTCCATTATATGGTGAGGGGTAGGTTTGTGGCTTTAGATCAATACTCTTTTTAACAACAAATGTATTAGTTGGCATTGCTGGTTCGACCTTAATTTTTATGTATTTAAAGGAGTGAGGATCTTTAGTCCATTCTCCCTTGTGTCTATGAACCAAACTCTCTCCTTACTACATAATCAATAATTAATTTTCTTTGATTTGATAATGGAGAGTGTATTTCAAACATTAGAGAAGGTGACAGTGTTTGGTATAAATTTATGAGATAAAAATAGTTAATTAAATTGAAAATATATATTTATCTGAAAAATGAAAAATGGATATTTTTAGGTTGTGTTTAGATAATGAATTTTACTAAGAATTTAAAAAGGAGAATGAGAAAATGTATGTGAAATATGAATGGTATATAACTACATTTTTACTTTTTTTTTTCTTTTTCAAATCTCTATCTAAATTTATAATTCAAACACGAACATTTGCTTGATACATAAAGGATTTTGACATTATTTGAGTGAGTTAATGGTGGATCTATATTTTTGATATGTTATTGGAAGAGAACCTTTAGGAGAAGTGGTGTTCCAGTTGAGCCCTTCCCCTTTCTAGCTAGGGGTGAGCATGGTCCGGATTGGAACGGATTAGGATAAAACCAGGACCAATCCGTTATCTACGGTTCCTGAAAAATCAGAACCAATCCGATCCGTTTAAATCTTGGAACCAATCTGAACCAATCCATTTCAACACGGATTGGATCGGTTTAGGACCACGGATTCACATAATTAAATAACAAAAATATATATATATATATATAACACTTTAATTTTATAAAAATATAAACATAGCGCTACATTAGTTCTACAATAGCAACATATTTTTCTATAATAGCGACATAATGTTCTAGAATTTAAACAATCATAAAAAAACTGGTTTCACCATAAGTATTTAGACCACTACAAATTAAAACTAAAAACTAAAAAACAAAAGTAATAAAAGAAGATATTATACGAGGTTTAGGTTTGAGTTTAAATTTTATATAGAATAAGAAAAGATACTATGGGGGAGGATGTATAATAAAAATATAGACTATTTGTATACGGTCCGGATCGGTTCCAATCCGGAACCGTGAGATTCAATCCGGAACCAATCCGTGGACTACGGATTTTTAATTCTTCAATCCGGAACCGAACCACGGATTCAAAAAACGAATCCAAGCCTATCGAATTGAACTGAACTGGATCGAATTACGGATTTTACGAATTTCTTGCTCAGCCCTATTTCTAGCCTCATGGTTCTTGCTCCTCCCTAGGTTCTATCTCCAACAAATAATTGTTTAAGTAGACTTTTGATCTTCTTCTCCTATTTATTTAATTTATCATCTAACTTTTATTTAAATTTTTATTTTGATCTCCCATCTTCTAAGTTTAGCGATTAAGCCCTTAAATTTCAACCTCTATTTCAATGCAATCCTCTTATTACAATCCATTAAAAAAATAGACAAAAAGTACTCACATAATGGCTATGCAGGCATGCTTTCAAGCAATTAAAGGGAAAAAAATTAATGAAAAAATTACATATTTTACTTTCAACTTTTTTTCAAATTCCAGGTTAGCCCTTCAATTTTTAACTTTCACCCAAAATTTTAATTGTGAGGTGATGGGAAAGGACTGACTACATTGAAACTTAAAGACTTAATTATTGCAATTAAAATGTGAGAAATCAAAACGAAATTTAGGTGAAAATTTAAGGCTGAAAAGTATATTTTACCCATTCAAAATATTGAAGATGTATTATTGCAGTTAATCCTCGTTTAGTAGGTGGGACATATAAGTTTTTAGTTTATTAGTTGTTGCCAAAGGAGGCATTTTCAAATGGGGTTTACTTTGTGACCTATACATGCTTGTTTTGTTATAGTATTACTATTGTACGTTTTCATTTGACATAGATTCCTCTTATATGCATAATGATTAAGATAGCTATCACTGGTCATTAGTTTGGTTTTCTTAATTTTATTTTTTACCAAGTAAAAGAAAGATTATATGTCTTTTATACTGGACTATATGTATTTAAAAGTTGGTACAAATTATATTAATTCAATTGAAAAAAAAAAGTTTAAAAACTAGATGTGTTTGGTCTAGAAAATTTAAAAATAAAAAAACTAATTTTTTGGGACTTTGTACACACCCAAATAGAGTAAAAAAGTAAATTTATTAGGTACCAAACGAGCCTTTCACAAAATTTCAAAGATAATGAAAGTTAGAATAATATCTTTACAAGGAAAGAGTCAAAATGTTGATTATATTGTTGTCAATCACTTATTCTTTTTTATTTTTCAACATAATTAGTGAAAAAAATGATATTTTCACACATTTTACATTTAAATATATATTTTATCTTTAATTATTTTTATATGTACACTCCAGCTGCATTAGTTTTATTTGATCAACATTATTAAAATAACATATGCTAGTTCTCCCTCTTGTAATTTTTATTTTTATTTTTATTTTTATTATGTGGGTGTTGAAACTTGGGTTGTCGGTGAAATCTAAAAAAACTTTATCACCCGGCCTAGAAAAGTACCATAAAAAAAAATAGTAATAAAAATAAAAATTAATGGCCCAAACTTCCATGAGTTGGTTGCATATTTAGAAATGGGCCATTTCTATTTCACACATAATCAATACTCATCCTCACCACCTAGTTCTCCTCTAATCTGCTATCCAAATTTGTATAGTTGCCCTTGAAAGAGCATTCTTAAAAAAAAACCTTAAATTTGTGTATTAATGACAAAAAAAAGTAAAAACATGACTTAATTTTGTGTATTAAGTGTTTATTAATTTAGTGAATGAGCTACTTTAATAGAAATGTTGAAGTGTGTTAAGTAAGTGTGATATCCAATGTGTATAAATGTGAGAAAATATATATATATATATATATATATATAAAATGCTCGCTCCCTCCCAACCACAATCTATTCTTCCCCTGGTTTCTCTGCTCTCTCCTGTTAACTCATTGACACAGTCAGCATACACCATAGAATTT